ACTTTACCTTTTTCTTTTTTGCTAGATAGATCTATTACATATCATTAATTATCCAACAACAAAAGTCAAATTCACGAACAACAAAATCAACTAAACTTTTTTATAACTAACTATTATTAAAAAAAATTAAAATTAATTTTTTTCTTAAAAAAAGAACAATCTATACTATGACTGTCATAAATACTAGAAAATGATAAAATTTGCTCAAATTAATATTACAAATCTTATTTCTCCACAACTCTAATAATTTAAAAATAAATTTTATTATTAAATTATATTCTAGTTAACAATTAATATCTTAACCTTTCAGAAGAAAGATAATATTTTATTCAAAAAATAATAATTTTAAATTTAAATAGTTTAAATCGATCTTAAATTGCTATAATTTAATAGTTTAAAAGTATTTTTTCTCACTGACCACAGTTCTCTCACCACCGAAGTCTTCCCTTTTCGCTCTACGACATGCCAATTTGCAAAACATCATCTTTTTGTATCCATTTAGACTTGGTAGTCTTGCTCTGATAAAAAACGGAAGCCATATTCCTAGAGTGAACAAAGTCTCGATCGGCAGCCTGCGTTCACAAGAGCTTTCTTCAAGTGTGTATATATATATATACTTAAATTAAGTATTTATATATAAATCAATCAAAGAAGGAAATTAGAAAATTTATTATATGAATTAGAGGTTCATGCATGTATCTCCTAAAACATAATGTATAAATAGAAGGGAAGCCATTAACTGTTACATACCACAAAGCTATAGACCACAATGACAATGTTTGTCTTCCTTGCAGCTTTCTTTATCTCCCTTTTGACGAGCACCTGGCTCCAAATAGAACCAAACCCGAGCAAGAGGACATCATTGACGTGTTGGTTCGCTTGAAAAAGGAACGCGCATTTGCATTTGATCTAACTTGGGATCACGTTAAAGCAGAGCTAATGGTCATAAATTTGTCCATCCAATTTTATTTTTGTCACATGTATAGTCCTTACATAGTCTTTAACTTTCTCATCTGAAGAAATATGCATCACTTTCTTATCTATGTACATCAATTTTTTTTTCTTGGCAGAACGTATTTATTGCTGGAACAGACACATGTGCAGCCGCCTTGGAGTGGGCCATGACAGCTCTAATGAAGGAGCCTAGAGTGATGAACAAAGTTCAAGAAGAAGTTAGAAATTTAGTTGGTGACAGAAAACTTGTGAATGAAGGTGATCTTTTAAGATTACCATATCTAAAGGCAGTGGTGAAAGAGACATTGAGATTGTATCCAGTGGCTCCATTGCTAGTCTCAAGAGAAACAATACAAAATTGCAACATAAACGGGTATGACGTACCAGCTAGAACTCTAGTTTTTGTGAATGCGTGGGCAATTGGAAGGGATCCTGAAGCTTGGGAAATCCCAGAAGAGTTCTATCCTGAAAGATTCTTTGACAAGTCTGTAGACTTTAAAGGACATGATTTTGAACTGATACCCTTTGGTGCGGGTCGAAGAGGCTGTCCAGGGATACATATGGGAGCTGTGACTGTGGAGCTTGCACTTGCTAATCTTCTTCACAACTTTGACTGGGAAATGCCACAAGGATTGAAAGCTGAAGGCATAGACATGGATGTTATACCAGGTATCACCATGCACAGGAAAAATGCTTTATGCCTTATGCCCAGGAACTATTGTCGTATATCAAGTGTTTGATGTTGTTATATAGTTTTCCCTCACCGTCCTAGCTAGTAGTAGAAATTAAATCCTAGACCAACTGTTTAAAGACTTTTCACCAATTTCTCCTACCTGAAGTATGCGATAATCAGCTTTACCTTGTTTTGTATCTTGCGTTTTTTTCATCTACATATAAGAGAATAGCTAGCTATTAAGAGTTATAGAATATATAATTAAGATCAACATGTAATTCTTCAGATTAAAAGCGTGAATTATCTCGATTGCCGCAAACATCTGTATACAATTTTAATTTTATTTATTTATTTATTATTATTATTTTTGCATACAGCGATTGTATCTGATGTGCAAATACTCATTGTCAACCTAGCTAATTGAACATTGACCATTAAAAAATTTAGCATTTAATTGGTAAAAACTTATATATTATACAATCAAAGTTTAATTAATTAGAACTTGGCTACAAATTTACAAAATTCCCACAGCATAAATATCATGAATTCTCCCTCAGTTGGAAAATTTTTTTCGTTTAGTTTGAATGTGACATAAAATTTATGGGCTTCAATTAATAATGAAATCGAGAAAGAAAAAACCTCTGTACTTCCAGAAAATTCCATCATCTTTATTCTAAATCAGGCCAACTGATTAAAGACTTTTCATCAATTTCTCATTGCTAAAAGTACACAACAATCATCATATCTTATTTTTTTATCTTAAGATAGTTCGTTATTAAAAGTTATAAAATATTATGAAATCAATTAGCTTATATATAATTCTGCAGATTAAACATCTCTACGGCTTAAAAACATGAACTATCTCTCTTATTATATAATAATAAAAAATTGAAGTCAAAAACAATTTAGAGTCATTAAGATTCAAATTTTATAATATTAAAAAAACCAATTGGATGCACAATAGTTGGATTAAGTCTACTTGTACATTTTTTTATTTTTCATTTTTTTTTGCATACACGGATTGTATCTAATGTGCAAATCCTCATCATCGTCCTAGCTAATTGAACATTGACCATTAAATTTTTTAGCATTTGATGGGCAAAAACTTGTTTCCTATATAATCTAAGTTTAACTATTTATAACATGGCTACAAATTTACAAAATTCCGGCAGCATAAATTAATATCATGAATTCTCCCTCAATTGGCATTTTTTTTTTTTTTCGTTTAATTAGGTTGAATGTGACATTAGAATTCTAGGCTTCAATTAATAATGAAATCCTGAGAGAAAACAGCTTCATCCTTTAAGAAAACTCCATCATCTTTATTCCAAATTAGAGCATATACGTCTACATTAGCTCTAATAATTAAACACTTTTGCCAATTCAGAAGAAATGAAAGGTACTGATTGCAGTTTTGTTATTTCTATTGTCCCTTCCTTTGGTGATTAAAAATTGCTGCGTCAAAACTTGTCAAAAATTCCAAAATTAGCTCAGAATTAATTTTCACGTTCACTCCATGCGCCATTATTCAAATTCATTTTGTGGTCTCTCTTATTCATTTATGTAACAATACTTAACAAATATGTAGTAAATGTCGCTATCCGACATCCGACGAGAATTCAAAAAAATTTAAAATTTAATTTTATTCATCTGAATTATTATGATTTATTTTAAAGATACAAGTTATTATTGATTTTAGAGTCGCCACCTAATACCGAAAGAACTATGAACTTAAAATGGGCATTCGTGTAGAGATTTTATCATAAATAATTGGTTACGTTTTTGAAAAGATAACGATCATCCAAAACTTTATTTTTAAAGAAAGGTACCATGTCTAGTTTATTCTTAAATTGAATCTCTTAAAATTTTTTGTATTTTTGTCAAAATATTTCTCAATCAAATTTCAAGTTTTTTTTTATGTCAAACTAAATTTTTTTAATTTTATTCTTAGCATCATAGTGAACCAATCATCGGACTTCTTCGTTAGGAGACACGTCAATTTAACTATCGAATCCATTTTAAGTCTTGATATAACCGGTATGTTAGAGAATGTTATAATTACTAAAGTGATTTTTAGCTAATAACGATTCGGAAAGTCTCAATAGGAGACTCTCTCTTTGCCTCTCTCTCTCTCTCTCTCTCTCTCTGTATATATATATATGCTTTGTTTTTCTTTCTTTTTTTTTCCTCTCTTTTCCCTAGCGTTTTCTGTTTTGTTTTCTTTCTTTTCCTAACATTTCTTTTTTGTAACATTTTTTTTTTGGTGGAGAATCATCATTAGTTTTTAAAAATTAGGAGACTCTAATTTGTTTATCTATTAATTGCCTTACTTAATTATTGGAATAAATTTTAAAATTGACATAACTAAATAAATTTTAAAAAATTCAAAATATTAAATCTGAACTAAGCCGAAAAAAAAAAAGCATAAATAAAAACATTCTAAGTCAGTTTGTCAAGCAAAAAAAGAAATCAAAGCATTGGGCCCTTTTTTGGGTCAGTGGGCTCTCAGCCCATTAGGCCAGGACTGCTGGGCTGGCCTACTAGGCATGCTAGGGCTGCTGGGCTGGCCTTCTAGGCAGGCCAGCCTTTTCCCTATGTGGGGATCGGGCTGGTTGGCTATTCGGGCTGGGCTTAGCAGAGCTAGGATCTCCCACAGGCTGGGCTGGGCCCAGTAATTCTCTATTTTTCTTTTTTACTTTACAAGGGCTAAACTTACAATCCTTTCACATTTTCCTAAAACCAGACATAAATTAAACATGATTGAAAAATTATACTATCCATCTTCTCCCTCCTCTACTTCTTCCATTTCTTTCGAAACTTTACCAAGATTGCACAATCTCCTTTCCATCTTCTCCTTCTGTCCAATCGTTTACTTCCTAAGATAAGTTAACCAAGATTGCACAATCTCCTTTCCATCCTCTCCTTCTATTCAATCATTTACTTCCTAAGATAAATTAACCCAATTTTTTTTTGCCTTTGTTCTCTCCTCATCTTCTTCTACGTCAAACAGGCCTACTCCAAAGTCGAACTCCACCTCCAAAATCTCCACACCGAATTATCCCTCTTGTCCTCCTCCTTCATCGCCAACAACGATGCGTCATCTCCTTTCTTTCTCTTCTTTTATGAAATCGAGTTCAATAGTGGGTCCAATATTTTGGTGGTTTAGTGGTTGGTGAAGAGACATGATTGGGTTGTGGGGGTGAACAAACGACAAGGAGGGGCTGGTTGTGATGTTGTTTATGGGTTAACTTATCTTGGGTGGAGGGAACAGGATTGGCAACATGAATCAATCAGAATGATCACCTATTAGTGCTTTTGATGGTGATTAAATATGTCCTCTTGTCATGATCTTAGCTGGAAGTGATCGAACCAGCTGTAAAGGGAACATTGAATGTGCTCAAAGCATCTGCTCAAGGGAAGGTTAAGCAAGTAGCCGGTGTGTCCTCTGTTGTTGCATTGTACTGTGTACATCAACCCAAACATGCCCAAGGATCAAGTAATGGATGAGAATTGTTGGCAAGGAATACGACAGAAGAACTAAAGGTGAATAACTTTGAAGTTAGTTTCTATACCATGAGAGTTAAACCCACTAATGTTTTTATGTTTTTTCCTCGTTGACTATAATCTCAAGGTTGTGATTGTGTTAGTGAGGATGTTGTTTGTTGGTCAAAAGGGTTACCTCCCTCTAATAAAAGCCTTTTATTGTGAGAGATTCGTTAGGATTTGTGAGAATCATGAAATTCTCACAATAGGATCTTATCTTAGTAGTAAATCTATACTTAATGTCGTGGATGATAGATGTTCGAAAAAAATGTTATGTTCTTTTTTATTTAGGAAAAGATTGAAATAACTTTGCTTAACAAGTATAAGTCCATATTAGCTGAATATGCATGTTAACGTGGTGGTAACTTATCTGCTCTGAGGATGCAGTAGCTCTAGTGCAGGACAAAACAGATGCAGAAGCAGCCTCAAGAAAATTAACACAAGAAGCTCATGCACAAGGTCCAACTCAAAAAATGGAATGAGCGAAGGAGTAGAACTAACAACCGCTCTATGACAACATATGGATGAAGTGGAAAGGGATATATGTACTCATAATTTGTGTTTCGCTTCCAACATCGAACACAGCTGTAGCACCTACACCATAAAAAGGAAAAAGAGAGTTAAATTCAGCATCAAGGAAGAAAGGGAAGTGCAATAAAAAAGCACGTGCACTGAAGAACATCCCCTGAACTGAGCCTAAGTTTGAGCCGGACATAACCTCGGTAGGGGCAACTTGCACCATTTTCTTCGGAAGGTAGGTTTAGCACAAGGTAAGTGTACGACACAAACCCATGGGATGATACACAGACATGAAAAAGGCCCAAAAAAAGCCAAGGGTCCAGTATAAACTCTAGCCCATACGCAAACCCATTGCAGAACACAATCCCATCCGATGAAACCAAACGAGGGAAAAAAGGGAGAAAAAAATCGAAGATGAGAAAGAAAACAAAATCCTAAATGCAATTTTCTCGAGATGAACAAGCAGAGGAGCAACAGTTAGTGGAAAAAGAAAAGATCGATACTTGCAAAAGGAAGATAATGTGCAATCAATGCGAAATAAATAAATAGAAGGAAAGGGAACCAGGCATGAAACAAAGGAAAGAAACACCCAAAACAAACTGCAAAGGGGCAGACAAGTGCGAGAAACAAAACAAAAGAAACCAAAGAACTGGGCCACCCACGATTAGGGGTATTCATTCGATTATTTGGTTTGGTTTTAAAATTTTTCAGATGATTTTTGGTTAAATGAATTTTCAAAAAAAATAACTAAAACTGAACCGAATTGTTATTTAGTTTTTCGGTTCGGTTTGAAAATATATCGATTTTGATGTTCGGTAATTCAGTTTTTACGTGTTTTATTTTTTTGAAAAAAATATAAAGTAAAAGGAAAGCTAGGAAGGACCTTTACGTATTTATTTAAGCTCATCTAATGTATTAATCTAATGTGCAAATCTGATTTAATATGCAATTAGAAAAAGTCTACTGCTATAAATTAATTAAAGGAACAAACTTTGTGGAAGTGAAAAATCTCCATCCCTTGTAAAATGCTCTCCCTTCGATATATGTGTACTGATTTCTCTCACTACAAATACAATGGTGTTATCACTTGCAGAATTGTTTTTGCACCAATTTTGTGATGCTCACACTTTCTTAGGGAAAATAAAACTTTTTCCTAAGGGTAGCAAGGTAAGGCTTTTTTCTACACAAAAAGCTTAAACTATATGTTCCACCTCAAAACCATTAAAAAAAAAAAAAACCTTTGAAATGCATCCACATTTCTAGTTGTTTTGTTAGTTTGGGCTACCTAACAAACTCGGACCTGCTACAAGTGAATAAATCTAACCATAGGTTATGAATTTTCTTTTGGATGCCAAAAGATTATAAACTATTAGCACATATTCACTCTCATCTTCTTCATTAGTTTCGGTTATTTCTATATTTATAAATGATCCATTTGGATCATTCAACGATCGCTCATCACCATCATCATGGATTAAATTAAATTATGTTAGATTTTTGAAGCATCCTCTTGAAATGAATTTGTTGTACTCCAACTAGACAACATCGAATATACGGGAAAGTCACCGATTGTCTACATCACAGCGAGTGTGTAATTGAAAACTTTGCTTGCGATAAACATCGTAGGTCACCACACCCACAATCAAATAATGTAAGAACATGTCCAAATTATGCTTTCATACAAATCATTGATGGCAAATTGTAAGGCATCACAATTACCGATCAAGCAAAATATTAAGCACTAGATTGACCAAAGGTTGAGCGCTTTAATGCAAACTCTTAATCCGACAGCTTTTTTCTAGTGTAAAAGAAGGATATATTTGATCAAAACACCATCATGCAATAGAGTCGGAGAAATGATGCATGACTCCTTCATCCCTAACCTCATGTTCGACATGCCACGTCATATGTTGTGTTGTGGCAAACGTGGGGTAACTAGAAAGTAATATATTTTTTTGAATGGAACATGCTTTGCTCTTATTGATCTTCATCTCGAACTTCGATATTGAGGATGTTAATAGAACTTACAAGCGGTTAGTTCATTATGTTTACTCTAATAAATCATGTAGCCTTTGTTACAATAGTAAATCTTTTGTAGTAGTAAACTCATCCTCTTCACCCATATTTGGTGCTATAAAAAATCCCTTCTCATATAGTTATCAACTAGTATCAACTCGTTCATTAGCCCGCATATCTCGTCATAACACCTTTTAGAAAAATGGTGTTTTGACTTAAGGTTAGCAATCGGATAACTCTAGAAAACCGACTAGGCCAAATCTCTTTATTCGTTACATTCAACATGTCATAAAAAACTCAAGCCTTAGGATTTGATACCTTGTCCGTGCTAAACTAATTAAATGATGGACCAACTACATTCATCACCAATGTTTCATATAGATTGGAGAGTTTACTATAATTCCCTTCGCCTTCATGAAAATTTTCCAACATAACAAAACTCCTCTAATGAACTTCTCCATGGTGTATCTAGTCAAAATGTCATAAAAAACTCAACCCTAAGGATTTGCTACCTTGTTTGTGCTAAACTAATTAAATGATGGATCAGCTACATTCATCACCATTGTTTCATATAGATTGGAGAGTTGACTATAATTCCCTTCGCCTTCATGAAAATTTTCCAACACAACAAAACTCCTCTAGTCAACTTTTCCATGGTGTATCCAAGTCATAATATTTAGGCATAAAACCATATCTCGGTAAATGGTATCTAACCATGTGAACTTTTTCAAAATTTTGATTCCGACACTTACGGTAATTGTAAGGACACTTTAACTTTCTTCCGTCCAAACATTCGGGACGAGTAAGAGCAATTGCAATAAATTCTTCAACCTCATTCACAAAATGATCATTTAAATACCCGTTTATACACCTAATATACATCCATTCATGATCGGACCTAATTATTTTGTTTTTACATTTTTGAAGCAACATAAAATTATTTAATTAATAAATTTTTTAAAATATCTAATAAAATTTTGATAGAGTCTCCCTTGTAAATTGTACATTTTCCAAAAACTCCAACTAATCACACAAATATTATGCACACCGAGACCAATACTTGTCTTGGATACTCCCTCAAAATTAAATCACAAACTCTTCCTTCCAGCTCCATTACTGAGCATTGAACTAATCTTATTTCTCCTTGATTCACAGGGGTCTCTAACCATCGAGTTTGATGCACAATGATGTATTTTAGCACACTTTAATAATTATATACAAAATAATTAAACTAATTAATTCTAATTCTAACCTAATTAAATTTATAATAATAATAAATTAACAAGTATTACTATAAATCAAGTTATAATTCAACCAATTTAACATAATTAAACTAATTAATTAATTAACTAAACATAAATCAAATCAAATTAATTAATATTAATTCTAACCAAATTAAATTTAAAAATAACAATTAAAATTAACTTAATTGACAAAAATATTACATTTAATTAACAAAATTACAATGAATTGAAAAATTTATTCTAATCCAACCAATTAAACAAATTTAACATAATTAATTAATTAACTAAACATAAATCAAATTAACTTAATTAATTCTAATTATAACCAAATTAAATTTAAATTAACAATTAAATTAACTTCATTAATAAAAATATTACATTTAATTAACAAAATTACAATTAATTAAACAATTTATTCTAATCCAATCAATTATATATGTAAACTTCAAACAATAATTTATTTATCATAAAGAAAGATAATGCATAGTGAATTATACATTTACATACGATCGACCATACTTAATCTAGCTAATCATGGAGCTTGCATTAAAACTTGGATTATATATGCTGTCAATTCATTATTGTAATTAATAAGCTGATAGGGATAAAAAAAGATAAATAGTTTAATCGGTCTTTGCATAATAATTTGAGTGTCCAATATGTTCTTCTGTTTTTAATTATATTATTAGATTATTAAATAATGTTTAAATCTTTAATTTGTCATTTCGATGAATTGGACCATGAAAAAAAAAATTTAACTGAAATGATTGTGACTAAAATGCAAAAAATAAAAAATAAAAAATAAAAAAATTCCTGATTGAATTTCTGAATTTTTTTAATTGGTTTTCAAAATCTCTAAACTTTAAAATTTTTAAAATTAAGTCCATTCTTATTTTTCTTTGAGAAATAACAGACGAGGTGCACATGCTACTCTCTCTTCACACATTCTGTGTTTCTATTATGTCACTTTCTCCTTCCTTCACAAACTGCATCGGATTTTTGACGCATTTGTTTCTTTCCAACAAAAAAAAAGCCCTTAGATGACACTGACACCCTTTTTGATCGGTGGGCAAAAGACAGCCATAGAAAACACTGACGGTAGTAAAAATGAGAATCCAAACTGACCAATTGGGGAGCTTGAAGGTCCATCAGAGGAAGATTTGTTAATTACAGATTGACCGAGTTGACTCGGCCGAGATAAATAATGTAAAACGCTAAACAACTCACAGAGTCGACTCGATCAAGATAAATCTGTCGTCCCTGGCCATTAATCCAACATGAAAGAATATTTTGATTGGAAAAAAAAAAAAAACACTGGAAAGTGGAAAGTTACATGACTTCCATTAAAGCCTTTAGATTTTTTATTTGTTTATTATCTGAAGATAGCTTGAGAATTTAAATATTATTGGTGCATATAACAGATACAATTAAAAATATAAACACCGATTAAAAACTTAGAATAATAAAAGAAAGATAGATTCAACTATTTATATCTAAAGGAAATATGCAATCTTGAGCTACGGATACTTTATGCACCATTTCCCATCATACCACAGCCTTAGGCACAAGGCACAGAGCGTCCCTCATGCGAGGAACAAAACCTGGTAGCAGATCATCAGTGTCTAGATCTTCCTTTTTCTTCCCAGATGGCATTTCCCAGTCAAATTTGTGAAGAAGATTGGCAAGTGAGAGCCCCACGGTTG